AAAAACAACACTTTCTTAATTCTACTTAATGTTTTTCATTTGCACTTTTTGTTATACTGGTAGAAACCCTTTTCACCTCCTGATAGCAATCAATAATAGAAGTGGTCTAAATATTATATATATATATATATATATATATATATATATATATATATTAGTGCTTTCAAACGATTAAAATATTTAATCGCGATTAATCGCATTAATGTCATAGTTAACTCGCGATTAATCGCAATTAATCGCACATTTTTATCTATTCTAAATGTCTCTTGATTTCTTTTTGTCCCATTATTTTTTCTCATTTTAATGCTCTAATCAACATGGAAAAGTGGATCGGCTTGCTTTGTGCAAATGTTTTTTTTTATTGAAAACAACATTGACAATACTGTTCAATTTCACACTAACATTCTCACTTGGAGCAAATAATCTCTCACACAATGTAACACTGTCTATCAATAAAAGGGTGAAAGAAATACTGACAGGTCCTGATATTGACGAGGGGGCGGAGAATTCGCATCAGCTGTGTGTGTGTGTGTGTGTGTGCTTGGCCATCAAGTGGTGTTTCAAAAGAATTAAATTCCTCTTCTTTATTTTAATTATACATGTATACCTCCTTTCCATTGTTTTTTTTTCTTTCTTTCTTTTTCTTGTTTCTAATATGTGATTCGAATGTTCTTTAATTTCATTGATATGAATGTTATCTTTAATGCTCTTCATATCTTATGATGATTTGTAATAATTTAGAACAGTATATGTGAAACATTTATATCTACTGTATTATGTCATATAATAAAAAAAAAAAAAAAAAAAGTGGTGTTTCAGACTGGACGTGCTGCGATGATGATAGCTCAGTTCACAACGACAAAACACACAGATCACTTTGGTCTTGTCAATGGAACCGTTTGGCAACTTTTTAAAAGTAAACTTTCAATTCAGAATCTTATTGACATCCATTTCGGCGTCTCGCGCTCGTCATCCACTCAAAACGTAACGTTAACCAACTATTTGGCCGGCTCGCAAGCCCAAACGAGTGTGTGCGGCGTCGTGCCTGTTGTTTTGTTTCCGGTCTAGCTAGATCCGCTTGCGCTTTGGTCGACGAAGCAATAAAACGTAGCAATAACGAAGCAATAAAACGCCGCGCATGCCGCGTCCTGTTGCAAAAAGCATGTGAAAAAAACCTACAAAGTTTGCTAGGCCAAAAAGACCGTTAATCGCGCGATAAAAAAATTAACGCCGTTAAAATGGGTTTGCGTTAACGCCGTTAATAACGCGTTTAACTGACAGCCCTAATATATATATAAATGAGACATGAGATAATTTAACACTGCATCTTGTGACACTTTGCAGACTCTGCTCTGATGTTCATGTGATTTGAGAGGGTGTGAGCTTTTGCTTTCAAAACTAGCTTGCTATTGCTAGCCTCTACGAAACTGCACACCCTAGCTTTAAGATTAGTCTGGAGCACCTTGACATTTGGCTAGGGTAAGCTCTCTTGGAAAGAGTATAAATATTACAAAGCCAAGTAAACTTTCAGTCTACATTCATTGCATGCAGAACGCATCCACAAGGTCTGGAAATGGTCCAAGCATTTATTAAATATAAATATGTTCTGCAATCAGCCCTTTCATGCTTTACAGTATTTGTTCAATCACTAAAACTCTTATAAAAACATACTAAATCAAACCTCCCCAACATACCACAGCCCTTCATGAGGACATCAAGCAGTCAAAACATCCTTGCAAAAACACAACCATCAGCTTCAAAGACTCAACTCCCTCTTAGAAGAAGCGGAGAGCAAATGAAAGATAAAGCCTTTAGCCATCCCTGTTTATCATCGTAGCCTTTGATTCAATCTGTGAGCGACTTTGGTGGGGGACGCAAGTCACCGGGCTTCCATAGAGATAGTCTTCTGGCTTCGCCTCAGCGGAAGTGACCTTTTTAGGGGCTGCTTAAAAATGCAGAGCCGCTGACCTGCGGCGGAATTACTGCATCCCTGTGGCCGCAGACAGCTTGGCCTCGCCTGGGCGCTGCTGCACAAAGGCCCTGCATTGGGGAACAGTGCTGCTAATCTACCCAAAGCTCCAGCACAGGGGCTTTTAGCCACAGACTCAAGGGTACAGCCACACTCCAGGGGTCTCTTTTGGCCCCTGATCAGACAGGCGAGGGGTCGGCAGGGGCTGTGCTGTCCTGTGTACCTTTGCTCTTGCACCAGATGCTGTTTTGCCCTTTGGGGAACGGAGTAGCTCTGGAAGGGGGCACCAAAACACCAGAACCAAGGCGAGAGGAGATGGAGGATTGAAACGTTCCGCTGGGGGGCGGATGGCATTTTAGAAAGTGCTTGCGAGTGACTTACTGAATTATAGTCCCTGCTTCTCCTGTGCCTGCGAAAGGTTTACAAAAGAAAGCACAGGCAGAGATTAAAAGCCCAGCTGGAACACCCAGGGGAAAGGTTGAGGGATTAAATCACAACAGAATTCTGTTCAGAACTACTTCTATCTCCAGAATATGTAAATTGATGGTTATCTTGTTTTTCTTCTTTAGCCAGATATTATTTTTAAAGGAGGAGAGACAGTTGTGCCCAGCTGTATTTGAACATCCGGGTTTTCCAGTATCTCTCTAAGCACATTCAGCCACAGGGATTTGATTTCTCCTCTTTTATGCTTGATTAATGCTGTCTTTATTTTGCCAAGTGTAAGACTTATGCACCTCTAGTTTACTTTAAAAAAGGTGATTTGCAGGTCTTTTACATAACAAATGACTAGGCACTTTAATAACTTAGCTGTTATAACAAGCCCATTGTGGGAGTTTGTAAATATCAAATATGTTATACGCATTGCATTAAAATAACAAGTGAAAAGTTAGGTCAGTGCCTCATGCTTGATGATTTTCTCCTGCCAGTATTTCAGCAAAATCTTTTGTTAAACATCTGTTGAGGTGCAGTCAGCACTAACACACTCAGAGGACACCTGGCTCTTGTATCTGCTGATTTGCAATCACTCCATGCATTGTCCTTAGCATTACAAACACTCAGCATTAAGAGGACAAGCCATTAGCAACATGTTAATGAAGAGTGCCATTTACACTAATAAGAGCTGCGTGGTGACTGTGAGAATCAGTGCAAGGTTTGTGGCTCATTTAAAGCCAGGTTTAACTCTGAAAACATATGTCCATGCGACTCATTTCAATGCATTTCAGTTAATGTCAAACACTTTGGCATTGCTTCAGGCTGCTCATAAGGACACTGGTGAGCGTAAAGGCAGAATGGGGGGCTAGGGGTGGGGGGATCCTACTGTGGTGGACTCCATTTAACGGCCTGGTTCTTCCCAGGCAGGAACCCCAAATCAAAGCTCTTCTTATCAACCGGAGGTACCCCGACAGCGACCTTGGCCCTTGTTGAGGAGGGTCACATGTACTGTACACATGCAGGGGATTATGGGATGAGAGAATGCCACTGGCTGTGAAATTGCCTGATTTTTATTAGGGTGCAAAGGGGAAGCTTTCAGCTGTGTATAATTATGGGTATTAATCCCAGGGACAGGGACTAGAATACATTTTTGTGTGCAATTGTGTTTTCGTAGACCCGTGGGCATCCGTTATGCAAAAAAACTGTGGGAACTATAATTTTACATATCTGCGCAAGTGCTTTTTTACCACAGAAATTTAGAAAGGTTAGTTAAAGCAAAATAAAATCCAATGAAATCATAAATCATAAAAAGGAAATGGCTGATATATGGCAGAGATATTGTCTGGGTTTACCATTGGTTTTGCAGTCGACTGTGAACCTCAGCTGGGTTGGATCTCTATCAGTTTGTGGTATTATGAGAGTATTGTTGGTGCATTTGAATCCTAATCCTGCCCTTCACTCCCCCTGATAAAGCTCTATACTTCAGGGAAGACTTAATGCTTTGTGTAGGGTTTATCATCTCTCTTCCAGCTTGAGAAAAGCGAGAGCTCCTGATGTTAATTTTCATAAGAGGCCAAGGACTAGCGATATAAATGATCATATTTATTTTGGCAACTAACAGTGTTGATTAGATGCTGCCGATTGATATTTCTCTTGCATGTGAACTGAATGAGATCTAATATGTCAGAACGTCATACAAGATGGAGGGCCTGTGTGCTTCCCTATCCTGTTCAGGCTGGTGCTGCTTCTTTCATACTGGATTGAACACTCTCATATTTGAAGAAGGAATGTCGAAGCTTGATCCAGCCCAGGATCAGAAAGCCCATCTCTTTCCCAGAGCAGCAGGTGACAGGCAAACACACGGCACAAATGCCATCAAGGCTGCAGGACCCGAATCATCTCTGGAGGCAGAACTGGCTCATCCAAGCACTGCATAGCAGCAAGGCTTTAATACATATTATTCACAAAGAGCATGATTGATAATGCAAATGTGTCCAGCTGCTAGGGTTGGCAGGCAGAGCGGGTTAGCAGCGCCGCTCCCGGGGTTTTGCCTCGAATCGCAGATCCGCATTAGATCGTGTCCCCTGACACAGAAGTGGCGTGTGGGAAGACCTCGCTTCTGTAGATGCTTTCTCCCAGACGCTTGTTTGTGTCCTTACTTACAATCAGTGATCCGTATGGTACTGAGAGGTCCACTGGGACAATGGGATGTGCAATGGCTTTGTTTTTGTCTATCAAAATGCCCGTCAATACAACATGAGAAATCTGCGTAAACCAGAAATCTGATCACCATGCTTAGTAGCACAGCACCCCCTTAGGACCAGAACATGCAATGTAACTAAAAATATCCTTAAAACAATGAAACAGAAAACATTAAAAAGACATCAAATTATAGTAGAATTTCAGTTTGAATGTTCTTTATTGGATATAAATAATACATTTGACAACATTTTAAAGAAATGATAAATGTATTGTCCAAATAATATTAAGTAAACAGTGGTGGTGAAGGCTACAAAAAGATCTACTAAAGTCTTCAGAAGTCAATCAGAGTTCATGTTATTAAGCATTAAGTAAAATATAATTAAAAAAACAAATAGTAAAATAGTGAATAGCGGGATATGACTAAGAGTCATTAGATTTTAGTATTGCTCTGACGGACTAAATACTAACCTAATCTCATGGGAAAAATATTTTACTTGGTGGCACTTTCGTATGAATGTGTATGAAGTGATTCATATGAAAACATGATTTAAAAAAAAAAAAAGGAAGCATGAAGTTCCACCCCTAACCCTAACAAATTTGGGATTGTACGAATTCATACAAATTAGCCACCACTTCGCTAAAACGTAAAAAGAGTTACAAATTGCCGTGATATTGTGCTAATATAACCTACAATGTATCAGTTCCTGTTTAGTGCATTTGTTCAGAGTAGCATTCAATCCTCAAGCAGGATGACTGAAATAAGACAAAATAAATGAATTCATTCATTTGACATACAGGTGACAACACATTGTGGCAATTACTGCATTACAGGTGTGTTATGTTTTGGCTCAATCAATACAACTTACAAAATCACTGTGCATATTTTTATTTAAAGAAAATGATAAATGGTTTGTTTGTTACTTACTTTTACTGCTTGTCTGCCTTCTTCAAGAAATTTGACTATTAAAAAGAATAGATAATATATAAGACTACTAACTGGGTAAAACAATCTGCTGGCTAAGTATTATAGAATTCTTGAGGAACAGTACATGTACAAAATGTCCCTCATAAACTCACATTCTGTCCTTTAAGAGATTTACTGTAGAACTCTGTGTCCAGTTGCTGGCTCGCTCTTCGACACTCATTTGCAGATGCAGCTACACAGAATACATGTACATACATACATTTAGCACCACAGGGAAACTTCCCCACCTCAGGCCTTCAATAAACTATCAGACACTTTTTTCATGAGTATACAGAGCTTAGTAAGGGGTGGCTGGCTCTAGATGGTACTTTGACAGTCACATAAATCGCAGAGACACTCTTACAGAAGTATATAAAAGGTACTACGTCTTCTCAAAGACTTCCATTTTTCCCAGACACAGAGACTGAAACCTTTGTGTAAAAGCCATTCTTCTCGCTAACAGTTCCCCTGAGACAAACAAAAAAGCCGCATTGCCACAGATATGGAGGAGACAGATACAGAGATGTAACAGCAACAGAGAAAGTTCTCTTACGAGAGGTTCTCTCGTATTGCGTAAGCTAGCTTACGCTGCGGGAAAGATTCATCTTTGCTGAGAGTTTGAAGCCAAAAAATTATTTCATAATTTGTATCCATTGACAACGCAGTTCCTCTGCGGCAGACCTAGAGCAGGCTAGCTAGCAGCTCATTGGTTCGCTCAGAGAGAACTGCTTAAGCCTATGGGAGAGCGGGGCTGAACCCGCTGCCAATGAGAAGCGCCCGCGCGCTCATTGCATCATGGCCCGCCAGAATGGGCGTGGCTATGGTGTATATAACAGTCTCTCCCAGGCTTATATGTTGATTCATTTCATCTTCAGCAAGCTACACGCTTCTGCTGTCCTGAGAAAAGCCGTTGCCGTCGAGAAGGCATCACTCTAGCGAGCTCCCGGACCCTGAAGAAGCCGGCCGTCTTCGCCACCTTCAGCCGCCCTGCAAGCTAGCGCCATCCGACGACTGTATCCTTCTTTTCTCTATATCTAAAAGAGCCGAGCGTCTTTTTAAAGATGTCTCGTTTTTCCTGCGGCTCTTGCCGCGCTCCTCTCGAGGACGGAGACCGCCATGTCATTTGCGCTCTCTGCCTGGGACTCGAGCACGCAGAACTCGCCCTCGCGGATGGAGGATGCGACTTCTGTGAGAGCCTGCCGTTGTCGTCCCTGCGGGCACGACTTCTGGCGGCAAAATCCGCTCCCGCGCCGCCTCTCTCTTCGCCGCGTAAAAAGAAACGCCGCTCCCAGAGGCCGCCGGAGCCCCCTGCGGAACCATGCGGGCCGCCGCCGCCGCTTCCCGCTTCCCGCTCTCCCTCCCCGCCCCAGCCGGACATACAGTTGCCGCCGAGTGGCCGCTCTGTCGCTTCCGATGACGCCGCGGAGGAGAAGGATTCCTGTTCACTGCTCGCGTCAGACAGTGAGGAATGGTCATCTCTCGGATCCACGAGAGAGTCGGCGGGGATCCGCGCCGGGATAGAGGAGGAACTAATGCGCCTCCTCTCACAGGCCGTCGAACGCCTCGGTCTCGAGTGGTCTCCTCCACCCGAGCAGGCCCCGAACCGGATGGACGGCAGCTTTTTTCATCGGCGCTCGACCCCCGCGTGCAACCGGGCCGCCCCATTCCTGCCTGAACTTCACACAGAGCTGACGAAGTCCTGGAATGCCCCGCTCTCGGCTAGAAACCGCTCCGATATATCCGCCTCGCTGCGCTCGGTGGACGGAGCCGCCGAAAAAGGTTATTCAGCCATGCCGCCCGTTGAGGACTTGGTCGCCGCACACCTCTGCCCGCCCTCTGCTAGATGGCGCTCTTCCCCCACGCTTCCTTCGAAAGCTTGCAGAGCGACCTCGAGCTTTCATGCTCGCGCCTACGCCGCCGCCGGTCAGGCCGCCGCAGCGCTGCATTCTATGTCTGTCCTCCAAGTGTTACAGAGCGATATTCTCCGTGAGTGGGCCGAGAGCGGTAGAAACCCCTTCCCCGCTGTCACGGATCTGAGAAGTGCTACGGACCTCGCCCTTCGCGCCACTAAAGCCGCCGCACAAGCTCTGGGGAGATGCATGGCCAGCCTTTGTGTATCCGAGAGACACTTATGGCTCACGCTCGCCGACATGGGAGATTCTGAGCACGCCGCGATTCTTAACGCGCCCCTCTCCCCGACGGGCCTTTTTGGATCTGCTGTCACGGGAATCGTCGATCGCTTTTCCGAGGTCCAGAAAGCCACTCAGGCCATTAATTTGTTTCTGCCCCGCCGCGCTAGCTCTTCCGCAGGCCGCTCTCGCGAGCCTCCTGCCAGAGCTCCACCACAGCGCCCTCCTCCGCAGACTCAAACAGCCCAGCGCAGACAGGGCGGCCGCCCTCGCTCTCGCTCTGACAGCCGCCGCAGACCGCCGCCCCCACGGGGCCCGCGACCCAAGATCACGCTGAAGCCTGATCATCAGAAGTCTGCCTAGCAAAGTTAAGAAAACGACGGCGCTCTCCCGCTGCGGCCGGACCGCCGTCAAAGCTTCGCCCTCTGCCAGTCCCCGTTGTTTCGCCGACTGCTGTAGTGTTGACCGCCACAAACAAGCCGGTGTCCCAGCCCGCTTGCGAGCGACAAAAAGCCGTTTTCACGGCTACCCAGAGAAATCTCAAAAAGAGAAAATATGCCAGTTGTGTAGAAAATGTGCCCACAATCATGTGTTCACCCATACACACAAGCATAACATATCCCGTGTCTCTCTCAGAGCCCCATCACATGAAACGGGCACAGCCCGCTCTAATATCAGAGAACATAAACACGCCCACGAGCTCATGCGCGTGTCCCCTCTCTGCTCGCTCTGTTTCACGGCCCATAGACTCCTCTCTGAGTGCAAATCCCGTTGCCACACACATTCAAAGCGCGCCCACACACTGTGTCCAGCCCGCTATGTGCAGCAATCAGGGCGATATAGCCATTCGGCCACTAGCCGCATGCTCCAAAGCGTGGGAAGCCATTCCAGGCATTTCCCCTTGGGTGCTAAGCATTATAAAGAACGGCTATCTGCTACAGTTTCGCCGCCGCCCGCCTCGTGCGCGCGCTCGGCTCGAATCTACTGTCAGCCCGCTGGCCGCCGGCACGCTCCGCTCAGAAATTGCGATGCTGTTGCAAAAGGGCGCCATAGAGAGAGTCCCACCATCTATGACCGAGTCGGGGTTTTACGGCTGTTATTTTCTGGTTCCCAAGAAAGACGGCGGCCTCAGACCGATTTTAGATCTCAGGTTTTTAAACAAAGTGCTCATGAAGAGACCGTTCAAGATGCTCACTACCAGGAAACTCCTCGCGCAGGTGCGCCAGGGGGACTGGTTCGTCTCTCTAGACCTGAAAGACGCCTATTTTCAGATCCAGATAAATCCCCGTCACAGGCCATTCTTACGTTTCGCCTTCGAGGGTCATGTTTATCAATACGCCGTTCTCCCGTTCGGCTTATCCCTGGCGCCCCGTACATTCACGAAGTGCATGGATACGGCGCTCGCCCCCCTGCGGAGCCAGGGGCTGCGCATATTGAATTATCTGGACGACTGGCTGATTTTGGCCCAATCACAGACGGAGCTTCTGTCGCACTGCGCAGTTCTCCTCGACCATCTGAAAACGCTGGGCCTCTCTGTCAACTGGACAAAGAGCTCCCTTCAACCCAGTCAATCGATTTCCTTTCTAGGAATAGATTTGAACTCGGTCATGATGACGGCTCGCCTGTCCACACAGCGCGCGCGCAGTGTTCAGCGACTGGCCGCCTCGTTTCAGATGGGCACCCGCACACCTCTGAAAACTTTTCAGAGGATGCTGGGTTACATGGCCTCAGCCTCCGCTGTGCTTCAGCTGGGCCTTCTGCACATGCGCCCGCTTCAGCTTTGGTTAAACAGCCGTGTACCCCACCGCGCGTGGAACACGGGCCGCCAGCTGATCAGAGTTACGCAGACATGTCTCACGGCGCTGCAGCCATGGACAGTAGCAGAATGGTTTCGACAGGGTGTCACGATGGGGACCTTTTCCCGCCGAAAAGTCATCTCGACAGATGCATCCAACACGGGTTGGGGTGCAGTCTGCGAGGGCTCACCGGCCTTCGGCCATTGGTCGACACAGGAAAGCCCCTTACACATAAACTGTCTGGAAATGCTTGCGGTCGAGAACGCGCTCTCGCGCTTCCTCCCGCTCATTCGGGGACACCACGTCCTGATCCGTTCGGACAACATGGCTGTGGTCTCCTATCTCAACCGTCAGGGCGGTGTCAGATCCAGGAATCTCTTCCTACTGACACCGCATTTTAGTTTGGTCTCAGAGCCGCCTGCTCTCGCTCAGAGCGACGCATGTGCCGGGCCATCTGAACGACGGTCCAGACATACTGTCCAGGAACCTCATCTCCTCAGGAGAATGGTCCCTGAACACACAAACGGTCCAAATACTGTGGCGGCTATTCGGCAGAGCAGAAGTGGACCTCTTCGCGTCAGAAGAGAACGCTCACTGCCCAATATTTTTTTCAATGAGCGAGGACGCGCTAGCCCAGGAATGGCCTCGCCGCCCGCTCTATGCATTCCCTCCGATCGCTCTGCTACCACAGGTAATTCAGAGGATCAGGGACACACGCCACTCGGTGCTCCTCATAGCCCCGCGTTGGGAGAGTCAGAATTGGGTTCCGGAGCTCACTCAGCTGTCACAGACAGCCCCGTGGCCCATCCCAGTCAGAGCAGATCTCCTCTCTCAAGCTCGCGGCACGATCTGGCACCCCCATCCACGGCGCTGGGCGCTACATGCATGGGTGATCAACGACTATTCGTCGATTTGCCAGAGGGAGTAAGAAACACTATCATACAGGCTAGAGCACCTTCCACGAGAAGGCTCTATGCGTCTAAATGGTCTGTGTTCTCAAAATGGTGCACCGACAAACATCTGGACCCACGGTCATGCGAGGTGCCGTCTTTGCTTGTTTTCCTTCAAGAGATGCTGGACAAGGGCAGGTCCCCCTCCACTCTCAAGGTTTACGTGGCAGCCGTCGCGGCGTTCTCTGAACCCCGACGCGCTCAGTCCCTGGGCAAAGACGAGTTAGTCATCCGCTTCCTCAGGGGAGCTAAGAGGATGAACCCTCCGCGCCCCCCTTCGGTTCCTATCTGGGATCTTTCTATAGTTCTCGAAGCTATGAAAGCACCCCCGTTCGAACCGCTCGAGTCTGTGGACCTAAAATACCTCTCGCTCAAAACCGTTTTTCTGACGGCTCTGTCCTCAGTAAAACGCGTGGGGGATCTTCACGCGCTCTCATCCAGCGTCGCGTGTCTTGAGTTTGGACCGAATGATTCTGTTGTCATTCTCAAACCTAGGCATGGCTATGTCCCGAAGGCGATTGGTACCCCGTTCAGGGCTCAGATTATTTCCCTATCGGCTCTGCCTTCATCCGATAGTGAGCGCGACGCCAATCTCCTCTGCCCGGTGCGGGCTCTGAGATTGTACACTACGCGCGCTGCCGCGTTCAGACGCGCTGAGCAGCTTTTCGTGTCGTTTGGGGGGCGCACCAAAGGTCTGGCCGCCTCTAAACAGACACTGTCTAGATGGATAGTCGACGCTATCGCCTCTGCTTACGCATCTAAAGGCCTGCCCTGCCCTCTGGGCATCAGGGCGCACTCCACTAGAGGCATGGCCTCATCGTGGGCATGGTCCTGTGGAATTTCCATTCATGACATTTGTGTGGCCGCGGGATGGGCCTCCCCGTCCACTTTTGTCCGATTTTACAACTTGGAAGTTCCCGCCTTGCAGGCAAAATTACTAGCTGTCTAACGACCAGCTCCCTAAGAAGCTGCATTACTGGGAGTCCCTCACACAACCGGTTCGCCCCTTGTGCTCTCCTTAGATGCTTATGTATATACTTCATGTGCCCGCTCTGCCGGCCTCATATTACATTCACTCCACGTTAAAAATCCCCCGGTATCACCCTGGGATTCATGAGTGGATTAATGGCGTTGACCAGGTGTTCCCGCAGCGTAAGCTAGCTTACGCAATACGAGAGAACTTCTCGTAAGAGAACGAATCGGTTACCTAACGTAACCTCGGTTCTCTCTAGAAGAGGGAACGAGTATTGCGTTCCCGGCCGTGCTTGCGCTACTAGCGTTTCGCTTCACGCTGAAATAAATCAACATATAAGCCTGGGAGAGACTGTTATATACACCATAGCCACGCCCATTCTGGCGGGCCATGATGCAATGAGCGCGCGGGCGCTTCTCATTGGCAGCGGGTTCAGCCCCGCTCTCCCATAGGCTTAAGCAGTTCTCTCTGAGCGAACCAATGAGCTGCTAGCTAGCCTGCTCTAGGTCTGCCGCAGAGGAACTGCGTTGTCAATGGATACAAATTATGAAATAATTTTTTGGCTTCAAACTCTCAGCAAAGATGAATCTTTCCCGCAGCGTAAGCTAGCTTACACAATACTCGTTCCCTCTTCTAGAGAGAACCGAGGTTACGTTAGGTAACCGATTCGTTTTCTTGCTTTCATGACAGGGCACTTACTTGGCGTGTGATGAATAATGCTGATTTTATCTGATGGAGAGAAAAGAGGCTTGTTAACTGACATACTATATATTTCCATTTCGTCTTGTTCACCCATGGTGACTTTATTTATTATTTTTTTTCATATTCTCGCTGTTATCTTTACAGCAAGGATTATATCTCGCTGATCCATGAGATGTTTTCTCTCAACTGATTGGCTCTGCTTCTATTTTGAGATTGATTAATCATTGTGCAGAATGAACAACACAAGCAGAGAAACAGTCTTTTGATGTCTATCCAATCAGAACTTATAAAACACCTTTTTGTAAACTCTTGGAAGCATCAAAGAGCAATTTCTAGGGCCTTGTATCAGACTTTGTATGAGCGATTTATCTCACATTTATTGAACAGATGCAATAAACCTACCATAGACACTTTCATCATCCTCTTTGTTGCTGATGATTCTTGCCCTCAACTGCTGTATTTTCTCCTGTGGAAAACAATTTGTTGAAGAGGCTTTAATATGCACTTTTTAGGAGCATACCAAGATGATTCAAACATGTATTTGTTGGTAGTTTATAGAGCACACACACATATATTGTAAAACACTCTAGTAATCTTTAGTTTATTTACAACTTTGAAAAATATTTTTTTTTTACAGTGATGTAGTAGTAATCACAATAACTAGGTATTAAGCCTGAACTTAACCTTAACCCATCTGCTTATTTTACTCATTACTTTCTTGGGTAAGTACACTGTAAGTGCACACATTTGTACTGTAAAGTAAAGTGCCAATTTTGAAGTACTGTATGTCTGCTTTGCAGGTTGAGGGGATGCACGTGTAAATAACCTCTTACAGCAGTAATGATGGAGATGACTCAGGTGTGCACAACTACAACTCTCATCTACATTAATTATATACTACTATATACTAGTATAATATATACTATAAGTATAAATAATATTTGTGTATCAGTCCCTTTATACACAGTATAATTAGACTTTATTTCGACAGTCCACTTTAGGCAATCTACTAACTATAAGCAACTTTGCAACTGCATGTCAAACAACTCTCATTAGAGTATTAGTAGACTGTTGGGTTAGGGTTAGTAGAATAAGTTGACATGTAGTTGCAAAGTTACTTATAGTTAGTAGAATGTCTAAAGTAGACTGTCAAAAAATAAAGTGTTACCCATGGTTTTTATACAGTACATTTACAGTCCTTGTGTCACTGTTATGTTCAGTTAATTTAAGTTTGCATGGACTTCTACTTTGTTTTCATTTGTCACATGTGTTCCTTTCTTTAGATTCTCGCTGCTCTTTAGTTTCCACGGTTACTGTTATTAGTTAGGTTGGCTGTGTTCACCTCGTTATCTTTAATATATAAGTTCCTATGTGTTCCCTTTGAGTTTGTCCGGTCTCGTTTCAGTTAAGTGTGTGTTTCCCGCTACCTGTCTGGATTTATACCTATTCGGATTCTCATATTAAACCTTATGTTGGAACTTTATTTGTGTTCATATATTGTATATATTACATTTGTACCTAAAATATGTTGCATGATCCACTACTGTCAGGTAGAAATATTTTTATTTCATTGTTGCCTTATGAGTCCTTAGTTAGTTTTTTGTCCCACTCTTCTTTACAATGTTACTTCAGTTCATTGAGGTTTTTGTGGGCATCTGATATGCACAGCCCTCTTAAGGTCCCGCTGCGTCTGAACTTTGACTGGGCCAGTGCAACATCTTGATTCTTTTCTTTTTCAGCCATTCTGTTGTAGAATTGATCATTGTCCTGTTACATGGACCAATTTGAGCAAAGGTTTAGCTGTCGGACAGATGGCCTCACATTTGACTCTAGAATACTTTGGTATACAGAGGAGTTCGTGTTCGACTCAATGACTGCAAGGTGCCCAGGCCCTGTGGCTACAAAAAAAAAGCCAAAAAATCATAAACCCTCCAACAGTTGGTATGAGGTGTTTGGGCTGATATGCTGTGTTTAGTTTTCGCCTAACGTGGCGCTGTGCATTATGGCCAAACATCTCCATTTTGGTCTCGAATGTCCAAAGGACATTGTTCCAGAAATATTGAGGTTTGTTCAGATGCAACTGTGCTGCCATGTTATTTTTAGAGAAAAGAAGCCCTTCCAAACATGTCATACAGTACTTGTCTCGTCTTTTTCTAATTGTACTGCCATGAACTTTAACATTTAACATGGTAACTGAGGCCTGTAGAGTCTGAGGTGTAGATCTTGGGTGTTTTACAATTTCTCTGAGCCTTGCATGGTCTGACCTTGAGGTGAATTTACTGGGACATACACTCCTGGGAAGATTGGCAACTTGAATGTTTTCCACTTGTGAATCTTCTAAATGGACTTCAAATTGTTTGTAAATGGCCAGATAACCCTTGCCAGATTGTGTGTGTGTGTGTGTGTATATAAATATATATATATATACAGTATATATATAATTATTATTATTATTATTATTATTATTATTAAATTATAACAGTCCCACACTTGTGGAGCCTGACATTTTGCCCACCAAAAAACACATAATTTAATTTCAATTTTGGCAAAACGTGATTTGTTTCATGATAAAACAGTTGTCAATTTTTATTTCCAAACATGTTAACAATGTAATTTCCACCGCAGAATGCTTTAAACACAATGCAAGGTTTAATATGTGATTAAAATGACTTGTTAAAATATTATTATAATACACAAACTAGGATTTTGATATTTTAAAGAGAGACACTTGAAGAAACACATAAACATGTTGTTGAAATCCTAGATTTGCTTTCCTCACCTGTTGGGCGCTGTCCATTCCCTTCTGAAGCCTTTGCCAGTCATTGAATCGATCCAGAGCATCATCTATACTTAGAGTGCCCATCTTCACCTCCTCCTGAAGTTTGATCAGCTCGTCTAGTCCTGGCGGCTGACTGGGCACAAAGGTGTCATACGTGGACGAGATGCTATCCCTCTGCCTCGCTGTCACAATGGAGACCACAAAGCAGTTAAAATGTTGGACGTATGATTTATCAATATTTAGTAATTATTTAAACACAGTAAGAATATAAAAGGCTTACAGCAGATCCAAAACATGAAATCTCTTGTCATTTCATAGTTTATACTGTATAAAACTATGCCATTTTCAGACAAACAAATCTTACCCTGTCTAGCAGGAAGAGAGTATAGTGTTTCAGCATCTCCTTGGGACTTTTTCTTTTGGAATACTGTTCAAATAAATCACATAAATACAGCACTATTATAGTTGTGTTTATTGCTTCCACACTGCATCAGTATACCAAACACATCTGAGAATGAGTCTGCATTATCCTGGAAAGTCCACAAGGTGGAGGCATGTATTCAAAAACATTCAACTCTCCCAGTCTCACAACAAACAGCATGAATTCTGTTTCAAGATATGAGGTGTGTCAATATTGGATAATAATCAAATGTTAAATTCTCTCTCTCTATATATATATATGAAACAGTTTCACAATCCTCATTGAAATAATTGAATGAAATATAAGGCCCAATGAGATCAATGAGGGCAAGCAAATTGATTTAAAGTGAAGCATGCAGTCAATGATAAAACAGATCATGCTTTAAATGATATGCTGCATGCTCTCTGTGTCCCACTGCCATACGACTTTGAACCTGATCCTTTTGTCATTGTTTGAGGCAGTTGAGAACAGTGGTTCTCAACTCCGGTCCTATAGGGACCCACTGCTCTGCACATTTTGTATGTCTTCTTTATTTAAAACACCTGATTCAGATCCTCAGCTCTTTAGGAAAGAGCTCTATGAACTGATCTGAGTGTGTCATATAAGGGAAACAGTGAGTTTAAAGAAGTTGAGAGTCACTGCCTATAACATACTCATGAAGAGCACCACAATTTCCCAGCATTCAATTCAACATAGATTTCAAAAGCTGCAATAATGGGGAATTTTATGTGGCAATCCTGCATACTTGGGAATCCTCTTTCATTCTGTCGTGGTCCCCTGAGAAAATAAAATTTCATTCTCTGTTATCAAGGGTTTCGTTACACTTGTGAAGTCCAAGTTGCCGTAGTTTGAGTCCAAAGGCACAGCACACATTGGTACAGCACACATTGGCCCCTCCCCCGGAGGCTTTCTACCTCGTGAGTAGGCGAAGAAATCTGATCAGTGCGTAGGCGAAAGACCCTCTGTAGGAATGGATGGAAAAATCTTGCTTTCTTGCACTTAGTATTTTCATGTTGTAGAATAAGAGAGATGGAAAACATATGTAATGTGCAATGCTGACCCTACTTGGCCCCTGCTCTAAATGGTTGCAGATGTTGTCATAGTGGTCTAAATGGTGTGTGTGTGTGTGTGTGTGTGTGTGTGTGGTAAACCCTACGTTGTGGGGACAAAATGGACATTTTTAGATCCCCATTAGGAACACAGATTATAAATCATTCAGAAATGTGTTTGTTGTTGTTGTTTTTGTTTTTTGAAAATGTAAAAATGCAGAAAATCTTCTGTTAAGATGCTTGCACAATGCTGCCCTACAAAGGCAAAAGACCTTAACTCGCTAGAGTGTGGAACTGAGAAAAATGACTTTAAAGATTTTTAGTTGTCCCGCCAAATTAATTATAGGTAGGACACTGAAAATCTGGCAATTAGATGTTTAAGTAATGACAATTATCTACATAACAAAATTTTGAGCTCAAACTTGACTTTTGACCACTATTTTAAAGTTACTGTATTCTGCCTTTGTATTGTCAGCAAAAAGTGAGAAGTCATGCCAAGCCAAAAGGCATAACTTCCACATTATTAATATTTGGTTGCTGATCACCATTAACAAAATCATTATAGTAAAACCTGTTTAAAATCTAGTGATCATGGCATTTATTTTGTATGACTTACAATTACCTAGCCTTCTAGTTATTGTGTTTTGGTTCCGTTCTGGTGGCCCTATTAATACATTAGACATGACAAAATACCTCCAAATCGGTAAAGACTAAATATCTTCAAGTGGTAGCCTACCGAGTGGCATAAGACTTGCTAAACACGCGTTATAATGTAATGTAATGATCACGATAAAACAGATCCTCGCGCTCATTCGACCCGGAGACTGGTTTATAGCGGTGAATCTGAAAGACGCATATTTCACAGGCGATTGTTTACCGAGATTCGTGTTCGAAGGTGTCATGATCCGTTCACGAAAAGTAGCCAATGCAGTGCTTTATTCCTTAGGACTCAGTAGGGAGCGCGTTCTGGACTACTTAGACGACTAATGCATTTATAGCACCCTATTATGCTATAAATGCATACCCTATTATAGTGCGTGCACTTCGCTCGTTCCGCGGATTTATTCCGGACGCTGTGTTTTGTATGCATGCTTTTGACAGCTGTTCTGATGTTGTATGCACCAGCACTTCTTGCTTCATTATGCTGTATGCGCCAATATTATTATCACTCTGTGATATATTAGTCCCGCGTCGGCTCGACCGTGTTCAGGGCGGAGCTGAAGGCGCCGGCGAAGTTTTGGCAGTCTGCTGCCAGCTAGATGCATGATGGTTTCAACTAGGTCCGGTACCCGAACTGGGTGAGGCGGGGCTTTAGTTCTTTGTTGTATTGACCTGCTTCGGCATGTGTAACATTTTTCTCTCAACTCTGCATATATCCGTCGCGATCGATATCGCACGTTTGTCGATGGAGCGGGTTAGAGCATAGCCTACTAAATGTTCTCACCGCATTAGTGCAGGACAAAGCTCTGAGGACATCATAAGTTACACGGACGGAGGGTAGCTGTACAAAGTACACAGGCTACATCGTAATTTAAATTTTAATGGAGAGTAAAACAAAGGCAGAACACCGTATAATCTGATAGCATTATTTGATAGAACGCCAGCACCGTAACTTCATATTGACGCGCGGCTAAACAAAGACAGAGTGCCGTAACTCAATATGAGCGTTCCAAAACTAAGCCAAAGAGCCGTAACTGGTGTTACGGTGTTCTGCCTTGGTTTCTCATGGGCTTTTGGAAGTTACGGTTAAGACAAACCATTATTTTCTCGAAAAAAACAACGGAATTGACTCAAGATACTTATCCACATGATAAAGGAGGTCTTGAATGTGCCAAAAATATCAATAACTCATTTTCGACCAAAAACGAAGTTACGGTCTTTTGCCTTTGCACGGCAGAATGAGTCCGAAATTCTCGTCCGAAATTTTCATTCGTTAAAAAATAAATATGACCTCACGTTGTGTCAATCATGTTTAAGGTCCTAGCACACTGAGTCCGAAATTTTCGCATGCGTTTTTTCGTATTCGTCATTCGGTGGCTCTGAATTGTCAAAACACCATTCAAAATGCTTGCTTACGGATGCGAAAAACACAGAAAATCTAACCTGATCCGAATTTTTTTTATGATGGACGAAAGTTTCTGAGGCAGTGTATAAGCGTGATTGACAAAACGTGAGGTCGTATTTATTTTTTAACGTGCGACAATTTCGGACGCGAATTTCGGACTCAGTGTGCAAGGACCTTTAGGGTTGTGTTTAGGGGTAGGGTTAGGGGATAGAATATACAGTTTGTACAGTATAAAAATCATTATGTCTATGGAAAGTCCACATAACATAGTCCCCCATCCCGGCTCCCAATGTAAAGACCAGCACATTATGACACACAGTATTCCCAGCAGTGAGACTGATAAACTCTTCCCAACCCCCTCTGAACCCAACACACGCATACAGTACACACACTCATGTTGACTACTGCAGCACTGCCACACAGACACAGCATAATGACAGGGAAATATGACTCTAAAACAGTAGCGGTCCCTACACCCTAAAGACTTGTTCAACAATCTGTGAAGAGAGTGATGATGTATGATGTACTTGGTTTCCTCAGTTTCAACCACTCATGTAACTAATTTAATAAAAATGATTCATGGAAAATAACATGCTTCAAGTTTTTTTTTACTTTGCTTTGAACATTGTGCACACTATATTTAATGTGCTCTGATGATGTATGTGAAATATATACAAGGTCATTTTAACTGGTCCATGTTATTCTTTCTAAAACTTTCACTAAACGTCAGTGATTAGTGGCAATCAGTGGTTAAAATGAACTATGTAGACTCCCTCCATGATATAAATACAAATGCCCTGATAATATGAATTTGATGTAAGCCTGTTGTGATGTCTGTATAGAATACAGAAATATATACAAAAGGAGTTTGTATATCAGGAGGAGGGGATTTCAGAGAGAAGCTGATAATAGCTATCCTGAAAAATAGCACATATCTTTGGCCTTCTTTTTTTCCATCATTCATCATCGTTCATTTTTTCTTCTCCTCATATTTCAGTCCAGAAACCTTAGCCAAGATTTTGATTGTCAATCAAAAAAACAGTCTTTAATACTGAAATTATACAACGGAAATTTTAAAATCTGAAAAAATACAGACAGATAGGCAAGATAACTGTCGACAGACAAGCAGATAGGGACACTACTACAGACAGACAGAGAGATAGACATATAGATAGACATATAGATGGACAAACAGGCAGACAGACAGATAGACAGAGAGAGAGAGAGAGAGAGAGAGAGAGAGAGAGAGAGAGAGAGAGAGAGAGAGAGAGAGAGAGAGAGAGAGAGAGAGAGAGAGAGAGAGAGAGAGAGAGAGAGAGAGAGATTTTCTGAATGTGAGTCATTGCAGTGCATATGTTTTCATCTACTCTGCATTAAAATATGAGGCTATTACAAGGCGACCATGGCAACACTAGCAAGTTACCACCTGTTAATGCAAAATAGCTTCGGATAGTGTTGTAAATATATTGTTGCTTTGCCTTACAGTGTCGTCCAAAGGACACATATTTCAAGCGTAGCATCAGTTCTGGCTTGTCACGTTAGTCAAGCTCGCATCAGCTGGCTCTCAGCTGATCCACGTCTACCTATAGCAATACGACGCCTATCACTGTATACATATATAAGCTCCTTCAGTATTATCAGCAGCTATCGCATTTCTCAGGAGCTAATTACCCTCCACCATCCCCAGCTCATCCTATCATCAGTCAGGATTTGGCATTCTGATTCCCTGTTAATCAGACTAAAATTCTCTAATTATGTTGTACAATAAAATTAATTAATGATATCTGCATACATTCATGTTGGTTTTGTTCTGTTTACCCTAAGGGAGGTTATTGCTGCTCTCCCTGCTCTTATCCATGCTAGGCTGCATGGATGCGCAGGGAGTTCTTTCCCAGAACAGAACCATACCGCCAATCCAAACTGGGGCCGGTTTCACAAAGCTATTTTAGACCGGTCTATAGACCTTATGTAGCCCCGCCCCTTTTCAGCGCTGCACTCGTTGTCTTTTGTCTTCCGGTCTGTATTTTCACAGTGATCTTACGTATTTATGAATGAACGGCTCGTTTTAAAATCTTCCCGGTCCACTGACATTTGTTAAGACATCTGCTTTAAACATTACAATCCTCATGATAACTTTCGTTAACTTTACATTAAGTAAATCCACTTCAAAAGCGAATTACTCCTGGACAGCAATGCCATAGAGATATACAGAGCGACCGCAAAAACGGAAGTTCAAAGACAATATTATGTATAATATTAATATTAATATTAATATGGCAGCGCCCTTGTTTCTCTGCCGCATAAGGTCTATAGTGTTAGACAAGTCTAAAATTTGCTCATAGACTAGTCCAGGGATGGGCAACTTCAATCTTTTTCCAAATTAAACATTTCTTCTTGTTACTACATTCTCCACTAAATTTCCCAAGTAAAATGTCCTTGTAACTGTTTTACTCCTCCAACAAACACATATTTTCCGCTGGGGTAAACTGCACTGAGCGGTTGAATGCGCTTCCTCGATCCGCCATGGTGTCTTATTTTACCCAGAATGCATTGCAGTGTAGTCCTACTTAAGATAGTCAGAGTCTTAAGTGCTTTGTGCAACGGTCTGATTTAGATGTCTATCTGAAGTCTGACTATCTACTATATCTAAGCCATAATCAAAGTCTATCTTTGTGAAACTGGCCCCTGTATGCTAACTGTCAATCGTATGATAGTGGTCCTGACAGAAACTGGCTCATACTCACAAACACTGCTTTGCTGCTCAGACTCTAGTGTTAAATATGAGAATAGTGACACATATAAGGCTATTAAAAATGCTGTATGCCTCCAAAGAAACAGTAGCAATTAGCTAGAGACATGGCTGTGGACACTTGTTAGAAGTTTGATGTGTTGTAACTTTTAGTTGCTAAGCAATTGTTCCTCTGTGAGTGCTGGTCAAAGGTGATGCAGGAATTGTGTGTTTTATTGTTTCACAAAAATAAGACATAAGTTATATCTGGAATCATGCTCTGAATTTGCAAGGAATGTCTAACAAGGGTAGAATACTGTTGTTCATGAGATCTTTCGGTCATCAGAAGCTAAAATGATTGTGATCTACAGTAGGAAGAGTATGCTTCTTTTATGCTTTATGAATACAGCTCAAGAACTGGGTAAATTATTGATAAAGCTCTAACAATACAAGTCACTTGGCACCTTCATCTAAATGAATTATTAATGAAACTGAAATTGAACATTTAAGAATGCTGCCTGTGATAAACGGTCCATATTAAGGTCTCTTTTCTCCCAGTCTATTAAAGGATTATAGGGGAAATAACAGTCTGAAATATTATTAAGTATTTATAAATACTGAGAACTGACTGAACTGGGCCAGCACAGCGGCACCATCCATTGAAATATAGGCAAAATTGAAGGAATCATTTAGACAAGCATCAGCTCTTGGAGTTATTTTTTTAATATGTTTTAATGTCACAACAGGTATTGAATAAGTGAATTTGCTGTAAGTGTCACCAATCCATTAAAGGTCCTCAATTGGCCAATGACAAAAACTGCAAAAATAATTATTATTATTTCTTAATCTTAATAGAAAATTCAAACCTTGTGCAATGAAAGGAGTCTTGTCCTCCGGGGTGGGAAGTGAATCAGGCCGTGGGGTCGGTGCAGGGGGGCGGTTCACTATTACCACAGGACTGCTGGATGTAAGGATGGTGTCATACTTTTCCTCATTTCTACCCAGAGGAGTATAGACATTCTCATCGTAATTGATTTGGTGTTCCTCCTTACGATCACCCACCCGAAGATTATCTGTGTAAAGAACAGCAGGGGTAAATTTCTTGTCTGTGTTTGCGTGTTCCAGACTGACGGTCAATATATTCAAAATACTATTAAAAATACATTTAGAAAAATACTTTATATTAAAAAAAATCTTTATATGATCTTACTTTTATTAATACGATACAGTCAATATGTAACGATCACCAGCTGGAGTGCCCTCGAGAGCCACCAGAGGGCGCTCCACAATAGACTTTGATCACTTCCTCACTAACTACATTTCCCATCACTCAATGCCCGGATTCATCAGCATTCATCATCTCATTCACCTGTGTCTCATCACCTGGTTGGTCTCTGATTGCATTCACCTGTTTCTCATCACCCTGTTAGTCCCTGTCTATTTATTCCATGTTCATTCACTCACGGCAACACTGCATCTCTGAGCGTTTACCTGGTTTCATGTATTTTGGTTTTTTTGCCCTGTTTCCTGGATTGCTCTTTTGCCTCTGGTCCCTCCCTGTTTTGTTTGTTTGATTCTTTGTTTGGACTGCCTACCTGTGTTTTGACCCATTGGCTGTACTTTGGATTGCCCACAAATAAAGCTGCGTTTGGATCTTTACTTGCCTGTCTCAGAGCAGTTTCGTGACAGAAGGTAGAAGTTTTCTGTCACGAAACTGCTCTGAGACAGGCAAGTAAAGATCCAAACACAGCTTTATTTGTGGGCAGTCCAAAGGCATAATCCAAAGTACAGGCAATGGGTCAAAACACAGGTAGGCAGTCCAAACAAAGAAACAAAGAATCAAACAAACAAACAAAACAGGGAGGGACCAGAGGCAAAAGAGTAATCCAGGAAACAGGGCAAGAAATCCAAAAACCAAAATACATGAAACCAGGTAAACGCTCAGAGATGCAGTGGGACACAAACAAAACTTCGCCATGAGTGAGTGAATGAACATGGAATAAATAGACAGGGACTAACAGGGTGATGAGAAACAGGTGAATGCAATCAGAGACCAACCAGGTGATGAGACACAGGTGAATGAGATGATGAATGCTGATGAATCCGGGCATTGAGTGATGGGAAATGTAGTTAGTGAGGAAGTGATCAAAGTCTATTGTGGAGCGCCCTCTGGTGGCTCTCGAGGGCACTCCAGCTGGTGATCGTTACACAATGACAATACTCTGTTGTCTTCCAGAGATTTACAACTTGGGCAGTTTTGCGTTATGATTTTTTATTAAATTTACAGCACAGCAAAATAAAAATGTTTTGAATTTCATAATGAACTTGGGCAAGCTCTGTGCTGACTCCGCAAATTATTTTACGTGACTGAAATGTGGTAAAGGATTTACATGAGAATGTGAAGGATACACTTCAAAATATGCTGAATGAAGGAAGTGAAATGAAGGCTTCCTTCCAGGGATACTACACATTGAGAAGGCCTTCTAAGATGCTTGATGATGTTGGAACTGAGATATGCCGTCTTACTAAGACACAGCCTTCCAATAGAGAAATACTCGAATGACTGTCTTAATGAGTGAGCCATTGGAATCACTCATTCGATTTGTAAAAAAAAAAAAGCTCATTCATGGTGAAACACCACTGTGTGTTGCTCAGAGGAGCAGCGGTTAATTTTGCTGTGGCTTCTTTTGTCAATATGTTCACTGACAAAGGAAAAATAAACAAAGTAACTGGCAATATTGTGTCCAAAAAGTTAATAAATTACTGTGTTTCACAATTGCTTTGACTCAATTCTCAAATGAAATTCTCAAAACAATACATTTCTTGTTTTTAACAATTAGTTTCTTGTGTGTTACATGTGTTTTGGCATAAAATAGAAATGTTCTCAATAACTAAATGCACATGACTTTCTAATCAAAACTGACGAGTTGATTCTCAGTAACGTTGTCACAACTTCTAAACATTATTTCATTGAGTGAGTCATCACATGCAAAATGATCAATTCAGTTGTCAAAATCTGTCAACATACATTTATGTTCTCCAAATGTATATGAGATGGAATGTAAAATTGGCAAATGACTTGCTATAGTAATAAAATAGGAATCACAATCTTATCAACCAATCAAGTTTAGAAGCATATATAGGGAGGTCATTTTCTGGCATTTTTTTTGTTCACTATATATGTAAGATTTACATGTAAGAAGTGTGTAAAATTGACATGCAAATGGGAATGTTTACATGTAACAAAATACATGTACTGTATACATAGAAATGTGCATATTATTTTTATGTGTACTACAGTATTGAATTTTCCCAGTAAACTTTTACCTATACTGTTGTGATACACAATATCATTCAGCTACATGAAATTAAATGTTTAGGGTGAGTTATTCACAGAGTGGTGATGTACCACAAAACTAATGACTAAAAATAATGACAAATGTGTTTGAAACAAAAAAACTTGTTGAATTGCACAAATTGAAAAAAATTAATGTAATTGTACAAAACAAATTAATTGTATTTTTAGGGCTTGCATTTTTATTGGATGAAATTCAACATGGTCGTATATTTAAACTGTGAATATTTCAAATCAAAACATTTCAGAAACATTTTCAGTATTAAAAATTCAATAATCCATATTCACCTTTAAGACTTAATTTTAAAAATATTCGGTCTGTTTAAAAATACAACTTATTTGATGAGAAATTTTCAGTCCATTTTATTTCGCTTTACAAATTAACTTCCACAAATTCAGTGGTTCAAATTCAACACAAAACTCAACATTGCATCTAAATAAAGAAAACCTGCAACTTTTTATTTATGGAATTGTATAAGCAATGTTACACTTGCTACTGGTCTGAGTATCAGCTGATATTCGAAAGAATAGCACTCTTGCTCATGATATTGCTTAAATATACAAAGTATTCATCATATTTTCACTAACATACCTGCTCTGCCCATCAACTCATATACACCGGTGTCAGTGTTGCCATCATTGTCATCAAAAACCTATGAGAACATTGTTAATGACACATGAATGACAAATGACAACATTTTAAAATAGCATATATTTGACCAAAAAGATCAACACAATACTTGTTAAATGTTTAAACATCAAAGTAACATACATTTTTGCAAGTGCTTTAGAAAAGAGTAAAATGTTTGGTTAAACTGCTTGATGTACATCAGGGGCCCGTTCTTTGTACGTTGCTTAAAACATCCGAGATCAAACGAGACATCCAAGATAATATCATCGTGCTCATCATGATCCGGCTAATTAGGTTCTTCGAACACTCCTGCCGGTTATGATTAGTATAGCTGGATTGAGTTATCTGAGATAATTGCGCGTTCATGCGCTGGGTTAAAAGGGAATATGTATCGATAGTAGAAACATTGATCAGCAACGCTGCTATTGGCTGCTCACCGAGGCCAAAGAGCGCGCTCAGTTTTTTTCTCCACAGAAGAGCAAGAGTTATTGCTTAAAGGATATGCAGAATTTGAAAACTTAATTAAAACGCCAGGGAACACCTCAAAGTGTGCAAAAGCCAAGAGAGAGGGCTGGCAAAACGTAGCAGACAAATTAAGTTTGTAGTTAGATGTTTTTATCACTTATTAAAGTCTATATTTTGATATTTTAATAATTTCTAAATAATTAATAACTTTGTTCATTGTAATGTCAGAGTCACCACCCACTACTAGAACATGGGAACAAGTAAAAGTGAAGTACTAGAATATTCTACATAATAGTAATTTCTACTAACTAATCTCTTTTAAAAAGGCACTGTTAATAAATGTTTGCCTGTTTATAAAAGCAACCAAGAAAAAGGCTGAGAAAAAAGAAAAGAAAAACAAACAGGTGGTGGTCCTGCACCCCCACATTATACCCAGGCAGAAGAGCTGACCCTTGGGATGAGTGTGAACCTTGTGGAGGGCATCCCTGGGTTCAGCTCTTCCTCAGACACACAGCCAGAGGCCAGGAGCAGAACACCTTCACTGCTGGTAAATTAACTTTAAATGATCCTAGTACACTGTAAAATAATTTGTTGCTGCATTAAATTAAGTAGGCCTATAATCCAAATGGCTGTCCAGTCATATCAGCTGTTAAACCTTGAGTAGCAATGAATTGCTTTGACTTGTGAAAGTCTACATGTGTGACTGTGAAACTACATAGTTAATGTAAAAAAAAATATGTTGCCATGAGTTATTGATCACATTTCCCCCCAGTGTACTTCATTGTAATGAAATTGTGTTTTCCTCTCTTGTGCAGTATTAAACAATACACCAACACTTTTATGTGTTCCCAAGCAAGTGGCTGAAGCATGTGCAGTAAGTGGACTTTTTCTAATGTTACATCAAAAGGGAAGAAAGTAGCTACAACACTTTGTAATGCCCATTTCCCCCCCCAAAATGCACAGGACAGTGAAGAAACCCTCTCAGGTATCTTTAAGTGCATAAATAACTTTACTTAATTTACACTTGAGTACCTATTATTTCTAATATGAGTTGCAGGAGTCCACATCTACAGAAGAGTCTGCACAAAGCAGTGATGCAGAGGTGGGCAGTGTTGTACTTTTCCTTTTAATTTTTGATGCATAAGCCATGTGTTTGACAGGTTTACCCCTACCCCTAGAAAACAGAGTATTTTGAAAATACTTGACAACTTAAAGAAAAAAAAAACTGGCACTAGAGATAGAGTTGCTTAATAGGAACTTCAGAGTAAGTGCTAATATATTATTTCACACAGAGTACAATATATATTATTTGCAGGCAAAAGATGACTTGATCACTGGCTTTTCTTTACAAAGAACAATTAAAATAAAAATCAAGGAACTAAGGCATATTTGTCTTGTCTTTTATTAAACATTAATGAAATGTTTTATATTTTTTCTGATGGTGCAATGTTGTGTAATATGGCCCATGCAATGTCACAGGCCCTGTCAGGTGCAACCCTCAGACTTTTCAGATACTTTAGTTGGCTAAAGTTCACTTCATTGTGTGCCCTTGTCCTGGCTAGAGCTGCATTGTAACTGGTCTGGGGTTTGGGTCAGGGAATGGGGTCATAAAACACCTGTCTCCAAGCAGGATCCTGTTGTAATCACCTGTTTAATGGAAAAATTCAGTTCTGTTAGGATAAGCATTCGTGTATGTAATACAGTGAGCTTGATATTTATATTTTTCCTTACCACGTTCAAATAATGTGCATAAATCTCTGAAAATTCTTGAGTCATGCACAGATCCTGGCCATATTTGTGATATGGAACTTAGTCACACACCATCTAAGAGATTTTAGTCAGTCAACTGCCTTTTTAAAATTTGATATAATACTAATCTGGATAAGAATCGCAATAGTAACTTGCCTGCACTGTTATTAAACCCCGACTCCGACGAGTCGAACATTTATGCGTTTCCAACAAATTAATGATGTAAACGACATCTTCACGAGTCATGAGAAAAATGATATCTCTCAAAAAGTACACTATCGCGCTGCGCTAAAAGACTTCCCGTATCAGCTCCGCTTAAAAAGCCGCGATCTAATCCTGTTAACATGAAATAAGCCTGCTCGCGAGCAGGTTCAAGCTTGCGCACCTGTTGCTATGACAGCAAGTCCAGGATGAGCGTCGAAGAACCAAACAATCCAAGATCATGCCAAATCGCCAACAATCAAATCCAGCTAAGTGAGTTAGCGACGTACGAAGAACAGGCCCCAGGTCTTCTATGATGATACAGATCTGAATTTAAATTAGCTTGAGTATTAGAAAAGAGAAGATAATATGTCGTTTACTGACAGACTGTAAAGTTGGTCAGTTCAACCAATTTTAAACAGTTAAAACAATAAATACAAAATGATGATAGTAGGCACACTACAAAGTGTTAACTTAAGTGTAATGCACACTTCTTTCTTACTGCCGCTCTCTGTCTACTGTTCCTTAGCAACCTGCTACTATTCACTTGTGATAATAGCCTCCACTTCTTTCCCTTCAATATTGATTATGGACATTATGCATTCAGTGTTATGAATATATTCATTAGAGTAGAAAGGGAGAATTAACAGATAAACAAGACAAGCTAATTACACATCACAAGTTGAGGGGTTGTGAAAGACAGCTGCTTTGATGTTGGACATGAGTGTAACATTATCATTTATCCACAAGTGCTCTCTTGTTGTGATAAATAATTTAAATATTTTTCTGTTGTTAGATAAATAATCTGACATGTCATCAAACTGATTGACAGACAAGCAATAAAAAAGACCAAGCTGTGGGTTAAGTCACCATGTTGCTTATTAAAACTATATTTGGAAATGATTTGGTTCAGTTTCAGTTTTTAATAACCATGTTTTCAGATGCATGTTTATGGCACTGCTCTTGTCCTAAAGTTACACATCTGATCTAGTGCATGACTAAAGTGTAAGCTAAAAAAAACTCTTTCAGCTGAGACTGACAATCAATGACAAAGAGTCAATTACAAAGTGTGTATAAGACAAATAAGAACCTTCCTCCTAAAATGTAATATATATAGATATTAGTATTTAATTTTTGCCAAAAACTTTAATCCGAAGCAAATTATTGGGATTTTCTCGGTGTCACGATTTGGGTTGACGAGAGACGAGGATTCAGTTGCAGAGTAATTTATTAAATGACAGAAAGGCAAGGTACAAACTCCAAAGCTCTGATACAAACAGGAAGGTACACAAGAAACACGTAACTTTGTACAACAAACTAGCACAGGACTGCAGACACAGGGAGATTAAATAGGGCAACAAACAAAAGAGGTAACAAGGTAGGCAGGTGGGGGAAATTAACCAATAACGCGATAAGAAGGGCGGGGTTAGACAATAGACAGGAGAGCACATGGCACAAGGAAATAACATGACAGCCATGTGCTCACAACAGACCAGACAAACACAAACACATGACAAACCGGGAGTGTCACAGCTCTGTCACTAACCCAAGAGAAAACCCAGACAAGGGTGACAGAACTGTGACACTCGGGGAATCAAAGCCATAACCTTTGCATCATTAGTGCCATTCTACAGGAATTACAAGGCATTGCAAGAACTCTAAAACATTTCATAGGGCAATAAGCTATTTTCCTTTCTGCCTGCTGCTTCTCCTTCCAGCCATACATCTGACCTGGGCAGGACATGTTAATGTGATTGAGAGGGGAACAATGAGACATCAATATATATATATATATATATATATATATATATATATATATATATATATATATATATATATATATATATATATATATATTTGGAGTATATGTGATTCTATGTATCAATATGTATTTCTCTTCAATCAAGCAGCAATTATGGTGACATTGCCAAATGGTCATAAAGTTTACCCTAACACTAGCTATATCATGCTTCAGGCTTCAGTGGGGTTAAAATCCCCCCTCTATAGCTTTTTAATTTATGATTTTTAAATCAAAACAAATTTATTTTACCATTTATTTCAACACAAATTATGCTGTGTCATTAATTACCAATGAAAATACATTTATTTACATTAATATGGATTCTGCCATATGGAAACCTATATTGTGTACCCTTCCTAAAACTACATTTAAAGACCTCATTGTGGCATCACATCACACCAAGTGACACAAAGTTTTTCTGTGAATGCAGTTTGAGTGACTGAGAATGGAAATGTACCTCAATAAAATCACAGTTATATTTATTAGCATGCAAAAATGGTCATATTTGAAATCCAAATTGCACCAAAAAGCCCACAGCTGAATTGTGATAAGACCATGTTACTCATCTATTTTGTGAATATGTCATTTGAGTCAGAAAGTGTCAACAACGATATACTTTAAAGCAAGCTAAAATGTCTTATAGGGGAAATGTGTAAAGTTGATTTGACTATTATACACTAACTGAAAGCCCCCACTGTTAAACATTACAGAGAAGGATGCTGTGAGGCTGTTATTCAAATATCAAACAAATCTCAGTGCCATGCCAGTATCCTGCTGGTAATAATGCATTCATTCAATGACTGTGC